CTCCTGATCCTCCTGGACTCCTCTGTGAGCTGATCCGGTCCGGTTCTGATGAACACCTCCTGATCCTCCTGGACTCCTCTGTGAGCTGATCCGGTCCGGTTCTGATGAACACCTCCTGATCCTCCTGGACTCCTCTGTGATCTGATCCGGTCCGGTTCTGATCAGGTTCGGATGAAACCAACACCTCCTGATCCTTCCTGGACTCCTCTGTGAGCTGATCCGGTCCGGTTCTGATGAACACCTCCTGATCCTTCCCGGACTCCTCTGTGAGCTGATCCGGTCCGGTTCTGATGAACACCTCCTGATCCTCCGGACGCCTCCCGGCGCCTCCGCTCCGGATTTATGGCTCTGACGTCACACCGACGGACAGAACCTTTCTCCGAACGGTACCGTCACCAGTCCCGCTCCACTGTGACCGAACCCAGTCCTCCCACTCGATCCGAACGGGTCGAGCCCGCAGCTCCTCCGGTTCTGGTTCTGTTCAGTCTTCAGATGCGCGGAGCGCGTGACCGTGAGGCTGCCTCATCACCTGAATCCAACCTGATGACAAAGGCTGAGCGCGTGCACGCTGCTGCGGTGCAGACGGAACCGAACCGAACCGAACGGTTCCTAAGAGAGCCTTCCAACCGGAAACAGATCCGATCCGAACCTCCTCCTCGGGTTCTCCTCATGTCATCATGCTGCTCCTGTGGACGGTACCGAGCAGGAGGACCGGTCCATTTCCCACAACAGTTGACGCCCCCCTCCCTCAGGGTGGCAGCTGATTGGTTCTGACAAACACACACATCTGGATGGAGCTGCGCAGCTGCAGCGAGTCACGCGCAGACGTGAACGTGAAGGTGCGTCATCAGGTCCACTCAGAGCCGGACCGAACCAGAACCAGAACAATCTGAGTCTCATTGTGTTGTTGTGTTGTTGTTGTGTTGTTGTTGTTGTGGTTGTTGTTGTTGTGTTGTTGTTGTGTTGTTGTTGTTGTGGTTGTTGTTGTTGTGTTGTTGTTGTGTTGTTGTGTTGTTGTTGTTGTGGTTGTTGTTGTTGTGTTGTTGTTGTTGTTGTGTTGTTGTTGTTGTTGTTGTGGTTGTGGTTGTTGTTGTGTTGTTGTTGTTGTTGTGGTTGTTGTTGTTGTGTTGTTGTTGTTGTGGTTGTTGTTGTTGTGTTGTGGTTGTTGTTGTTGTGTTGTTGTTGTGGTTGTTGTTGTGGTTGTTGTTGTTGTGTTGTTGTTGTTGTTGTTGTGTTGTTGTTGTTGTGGTTGTGGTTGTTGTTGTTGTTGTGTTGTTGTTGTTGTTGTTGTTGTGGTTGTTGTTGTTGTGTTGTTGTTGTTGTGGTTGTTGTTGTTGTGTTGTGGTTGTTGTTGTTGTGTTGTTGTTGTGGTTGTTGTTGTTGTGTTGTTGTTGTTGTTGTGTTGTTGTTGTGTTGTTGTTGTTGTTGTGTTGTTGTTGTTGTTGTGGTTGTTGTTGTGGCTGTTGTTGTTGTTGTGTTGTTGTGTTGTTGTTGTGTTGTTATCTGCACCATCAGTCCTGCAGGAAGGAACGTGTTGTTGTTGTTGTTGTGGC